CTTCAGGCTCATTTGGGTGTTTGCAGAAGGATGTTTTAGACATCACCGAGTAGGATTAGTCCAGGCAGGTGTTGCCTTTCAGTCTGTTTCCTACTCATAACATGAGAGATGCAGAATTACTGTTCAATGGCTTTTTTTGTCTTTTCCTCCTTTATAAGCAGAGGGTCTCTAGTTACAGCTGGAAAGCTGCTCCTACAATGCTGATTGAGATGCTGATGGTCAATTCGATTTGGAATCCCAGGCTTAAATAATGGAGCCTTGATTTTAAATATGATAATGTAAACTAACAAGAATGAGACCCAGCTGTGGGCTAGCGAATGGGAGTTGCGCAGCTTTGCTCTTCGGTTGTCTGATTGCGTGCATACTGTAGCAGGATGATCCAGACTGTTCGCTGACAGTCACACCTGTGCCGTCTTGTTTCACACAGAGCCAGCTGAGATGAGCGGTCCAGAGGTGGCTAAGACACCAGGAGGCGGAGCTCCAGAAAAGGAAGGGAAAGAGCCGGTTGCCAATGGCCATGCGGGAGAAAACAATGACGCCAACCCGTTTGCTGAATACATGTGGATGGAGAATGAGGAGGAGTATAACAGACAGGTACATGTGACAAAAAGGGATACTTTAACTCCTGAAGGTCCAAACTAGCTTCTTTCTTTCTTCTTTTCAGTCCATCCTGTTTTTTTGTTTGTTTGTTTGTTTTTAAACTTCACCATCCTGCAATCCCTCCACTCTTAATTTGAAAGTTTGATTCTGCCCTGAGCTGCTGGTGAAGTTGCTGTTGAGATAACATAATGCTTTATTCACCCTCAGGATGAGAGGCTCACCTGAGTACAGGTGGATTTATTGCTCATTTATTTGTCAACAGTACTTGAAAAACAATGTTTTTGGATGATATGCTAATAAAAGAATTATTAAAGATTAATTTAATGGTTAATTCTTGGCAGACTCGTACCCCTCTCCCCTGCCACCAATGAACTTTGATGCCTATCAGATACAAGGTTTCTTACCGAGAGTTCAGCATTTTTGTCAGCTTGTGGCTTAAGCGTGAATTTGTAACGTCTGAACATTCCCACACCTTCACTTATTGTTCCACTTTACTGCTTATCTTATTATTTATCATTTCCTTTCCTGTGTCATTGTCTTGCAGGTAGAGGAGGAGCTGTTGGAGCAGGAATTCTTGGAGCGCTGCTTCCAGGAGATGTTGGAGGAGGAGGACCAGGATTGGTTCATCCCTTCGCGCGACCTCAACAACCAGGGGGTGGGGCAGCTGCAGCAGCAGCTCAACGGCCTGTCGGTCAGCGATCACCACAACAACCTGGAGGAAGTGGCGGTGAGTCAGATGCGTCTGATTGCGCTGCGCTCACTCTGTCGGTTCTTGATAAAATGAGTAATTTTATTCTGTTTCCTTCTCTCTGCAGAGGAAGAGCATCTTGAATCCTGAAGCAAAGGAGTTTGTCCCGGGGAAGAAATACTAGGAGTCCCCCTCACCCCCATGGAGCCTCAGCACGCACGCACACACATGCATACACAAACACACTCAGACACATGCACCAGTCCTCTCATATTCTCAGAGACTCTGGCGGCCACGGCCGCACACACACTGATCCCCACACGCAAGCATGCACACGCACACACTTGAAGTCAGTGGCGTGCTGCCAGGCCCGATTGGGGGGTGGGGGGTTTTCTTTTTTTTTTTTTTTCTTCTTCAATCTTTTTATTTCCTGTTTGTTTCTTGTAAACTGAGGGACATTGGGGATGGGTGGGAGAGGGGGTGTAGTACCAGCTCTGCCCTTCTGTGGGCGCTAGCTCATCATTGCATTTCACACCACGCTGTTGATGTTTACAGAGCATGCAGATCTCAGCAAGAGTCCCTTGAAAAATAGGCAGCTACTTGGGAGTGATGCCAAGACAAAGTCTAAATTCCAAAAGTTTAGTCTTTTTTTGTTTCAGTGTTAATTTGTGTCCAATTGGGTGAAAAAACAAACAAACACATTTCCAGCAGGTTGAAGGTTACTATGTTGCTGAGGTCAGAAGGATGAACATTTCAGGGGACTGCAGCGGGCTTCTGCCGTTGCTCTGTAAAGCCATCACAGTAACCCGTTAACGTTTGCTCCTATGATGTCCTGTGACATCACGGCTCATGTTTATCTAAACGATGGATGGTTATTTGTATCTGCAGCGGCTCTGTTCCAAACCACGTGCAAACCCCTCAGCCCTCCCTCCCTGCCGGTTGAATCGATCTGAACGCTCATGGACGGGTGGCGTCATGGAGAAGAACTTGTTTTCCCAATTTGTGTTGACATCCATGCTTATTTTTCATCAAGTATCCCAATCATGAGTTAAATAAAGGAGTTGAATAAAAATGTCAAACATCAAAGCTTTTTTTTAAAAAAATTTTTTTAAATCTTTAAAAACTCAGTCATCTTTTTGTGTGTGCACAGCTTTAGTTCACTGCTCAGTTTTTGTAGGGTGTTCATCCTTCTTACGGGGGCGGGGGGTATTTGGTCTGGAACGCAGCCACTGCCTCTTTCTGTCAGCTTGGTTTGTTTAGGATCAGATCAAGTGTCCATATCCAAATCAGGTTTTTCAAATAGCATCTCATCCTTCCCCTTATTTTTCCTTCACATTTTTTGTTTTTGAGGATGAGGCTCTCTACTGGGTTTAGTAGCCTGTGGTGTCCATTTAGTCCTGTTGGTAGGAGGAAACAAGTAGGGAGAGGTGATCGTATCGCCATGGGGATGGCAGTATGGAGGATGTGGCGGTCAGTATTTAATCCTTGCCGGTCTTGTCCTACCCTAGGAATCTGACTTTTTGTTTTGAGGAAGTTCTACTTTAAATCTTTGTGGTCTAGAGTTCAAAGTGTCCCTGATGCGAGTATAATATCCATTAAAGCGTGAGCCAGTAGGAAAAAGTTATATATGTGACAATACTCTTCAGGAAATCCAGATTCCTATCACCAGTAATTCTGTTTCTTTTTTTCTCTGAATCTCAGCCATTTTGGCTTGAACATGGACGTAGTATTGTCCCAGGAAAAATAAGATCTTGTGTATTTTTGTGGTAAGCAGAGATTATTTACATTGTGTTTCAAAGTATCTGACAGGTAGTGCTTCTGTCCACTCATGCTGCTTTCCGAGGTTTCTGTGAGAGACGGTGAAGCGTGGGTTTAAAGGGGAACTTCCTCAGTGTTGGACCACAGATGTCAAATGACACCCTGGTGACGCCGTTAGGAATGTCCGCCAGGTGGATTGTACAACATGAAATCATTTTTGGTGATTTTCATTTTCTTTTCATTTTTTTTTTTTTTTTTTTTGAGTTGTGTGATAGAAGCCGTTTAAAAAAAATGAAAATAAATAAAAGTGTATGAATTTCAAGATAAACAAAAATGATGAAAAAAGTTGAATAAAGCAGCTAAAGACAAATGTTTTGTTTGCTTTTCTTTTTCTTTCCCCCTTTTCTCTTAATCTGTACACACATGTGACTTTTCCTGTGATGATTCTGAACAGTCCAAGAAAAGAAGTTCATTGTAAAGGTTCTTATTTGAAAGGTTCAGGACAATATTCACTTTCTTTTCAAGTCTGAGAGCGTGGAAGTTGGATCATAACACGGATTGATAAGTGAGGTCAACGTACGTGGCCAAGTTAATGGGAATGTGCCGATGAACTAAACACTCGAGAAGTCCGAGCTACAGGGAATACTGAATAAAACCAAGATTATTAAAGTTAGAATAACATTTCAGTGGGAATTCACAGATAGTTATCGCTTCAAATGTCCGCTTCGCTCTTGCTGTGAACTTCCTCAGGACGGCTCTGTGTGAGCTATCGTCCAAGATATTTATGAGTATTCGTATTCCTTCCCTCTGGAGCTTTGGATCATATCACAGGATCTTTTTCAGCATGTTGTTTTCATTATATTTCTGTTTCTAAGTCCAGCTGTAGATGGATACCGCTGAAAATGAGCAGATCCCAAATGTGCAGCGGTTGCTTGGTCAGCCACTATTAGCTTTTAATTGCTTAAAAATGATCATCTATCCAGACTGACTGTTTGGTAACAAATGGCCAGATTTTGGTTACATAAGCACAAACCTTTCTACTAAAGCTGAGACGGCTTAAACAGCGCGACGCTCAACTCCAGAATATGTTTCACTGTCACTTACTCTCAATCGTTTAAGCTTGTCTTTTATTTTTTGCACAAAGTACCTTGTCTAAGCATATATTTGTTTTGTTTTCGCATTCGAGGAGGCGGCTCACCATCAGTCTGTTTAGCATCAGCTTGATAAACGGTCATCTGATTGTTGCGTAAAGCTGTGCATGCCATTTGGCCTCACTGGAGAACCTGATCTGCTGCCCTTAAAGCAGACTGTCTGAGATCACCCGGAGATAACCTTTCACTTATAAACACGAGGACGTGGAGAATGCTTGATGCTGACCTTTGGTGGGCAAAACCCATCTCAAATCACTCTGACCCCTGCAGGCGTTAGGCAGGTTTGCAACTAAAGAACAGCACAGAACAGTGATATCCAAGTAAATAAAAAATATAGATGCATAGGACGGTGCTACATTTCATCTTTGAATAAAGGGTTAATTCAACTAAAGTTCACAGTGTGGATCTGAAAGCAGACTGGACGAGTGACATCAGGATTATGTCTGCAGAAAAAGAGAGGAAGGATTGGTTTTTGGTGACTATCCTGAAAATGAGCTCATGACTGTGTCGGTGCTCATTTCCAAAGCGAAACAGGAACAAAAGGAGGACGATCGAAATGTTAACAGACTAGAGGAGCCTGAAATCCAGGGATGTGAACGGCAAAGACTGCAAATCCCTCGATTTGTGTGCTGATATGAAGGAGCAGAGATATATGGCCCCTGAAGTCACCACACCCTCTACATACAGCACCTAGGTGGAACCAAGGTCATTGCACAGGGACACTACTGTGTGCAGCACTACGAGTATGAATCATAAGAATGAAAAAGAGCTTAATTGGACTGTGCAGCTAGTTTTACACCTAACCTAACAAATCCTCCTCTCCAGACCACTTGAAGCCCCTCTGCTTTAATAAAGTGCGACCAGTGAAAGGAGCTATTTTCTTCACAACTGTCCATTTTTACACGCTCACACAGCAGAGATGGGAATCACTAGACACCCCACAAAATTGCTACGATAATTTACTCATGAAATGATATTACTGTGATGCTGAGCAGCCTTCCAGCTCTACAGGTGGGCCACAGGTTTTCAGGTTTCTTTCAGTTTGGGAATGGTTGCCTTAGGAACCCCAGGAGCTCCAATCAGAATCATTAAATCTTATTCATCTCAGTAGAGACACTGACGTTAGCATGGGGAATGATGGTTCGAATTTTTTGGCATTTTTTAACATTTATTTAACTTAAAAAAACTAAAAACTAAGTAAGTCATCCACCACAGCCGTGTGAACACTTAAGCCTCTGCCCAGCACGAGGATGCCAGCAAGTTCACAGCTCGCCGTCTTCCTGCCAGCAGATGGTTTACTGCTACGTTGTGACTCAGCTTTTGTGTCCTCGGCGATAACCGAGACTCACGCACAAAAGCCTTGACCGCTATCTCACTTTTCTGCGGAGGTGTTTGGACAAAACAGCTCTAAAACATTTCATACTAACATGCTGCACTTTAAGTCTAAATCAAAATACCAAAAATACAACATTTTTTTCTGAACGATCTGTATTGAGTCAAGATTCAGACTGTAGACCAGTGACAAGGTGGGCGATCGGAGAAGGCATCCTGCTGAGTCTAGGTGGAAATACACAAGATAAAGGGACAGACATGAGAACATAAGCAGACTAAGCACAGGGCAAAAGCCTGCAAGTGTCAGGCTACTCACACAGAGCTTCCTTTGGCCACTCTGTATCTTAGAGCCATAGTTGAACTGGTACTCTGTTTGCGGCAGCTTCCTCCTAGTCTCTGTGCAGTAAGTTGCTGGCTGTACGTGGGCCTGAGGCAGGGCGCTGCTCTGACAGATGGTTTTCAGCTCAAAGCACTCAGGTCCCCTTGCACAGCTGGGAGTAAGAAGAAAGGGGAGAAAGTGTCTGAAAATAGCACAGAGAGCGTGAGAGGACACGGTGAAAAGGTGGAATTTGTGTCTGTGCCTCACCGGCTGCCCTGAGCTAAAGGGTTCTGGAGGGAGGAGGCGCTCAAACCCCACAAGAAGGCACTCTTATCACAGTGTTGGTCATCTAAATGGGAAGTTTCAAAGCACATTCATTCAAATACAGCTTCCTCTGCAATTTAGAGACTATATTTCACACCATGACTTAACAACAGTAACAACAATGTACTTCGATTTTGTCTTATTGTCTGCATATATATCATTTACCAGTCTAACTATAATAGCATATATGTAAATCTCTGGTTTTAGACTGGTTTAAAATACTATTTTAAACAGTTTTTTTTACCCTTGGGTATGCATGGTGTCATATAGCCCTGATTTGGTCGTTTCAGCCAAATGACCTGTTTGGGAGGGGCAGCCAATTAGAAGAAAGCTGGCTAAACGAGAGGGTGAAGGGAGATAAACCTTCCTGTTTCACACAGTAGATGAACTGAGAGGTTACATCAAGTCCATCGTAGCATAAAGAATGATCATTAGTAGTGGTGATGGAAAATAGCCTAGTAGGCTAATTGTTTGTTTTAAATTGAATTTTGCTTGTACACTTAAGCCCACAAACTAAGTGGGTTATACTCACAAGCTTTCCTAAAAGCCCATGGTCCATATTAAATGACTTAAATATAAGGCACGGGAGCCTGAATCGGGCCGGCAAATACTCCAGTTCGGCCCACTGGATGGCTTTGGAAAATGTAGAGGAGAACATAAGTTTTGGACTTTTAACTGTATTTTCATGCATTTTAGAGCTTTTGCTACAGATACAGTAATAGATTTATGTAATTTTGCACATTTAATAGTTACAATTTGAGTCTAAAAAGTCGTGGTTACAAATTTCTTTCATTTGCTACAGAAGAAATTCTTTATCACTTAAAAAAAAGCGGGGGCATGAAGTTGAAATTGCACTTCTTTACTTATATCGAAACCTCAGAGATTAAATGTAGATCAACATAAGATCAAGGTGAGTTTCACATCCCTGATTTATGGTCATAAAAATCTGTTCTACCTTTGTTTGTGTCAACAGCAGACCAGCCTTGAGGAGAGCTGAGCAGGTGCTGCAGTCCACTTTCTCTCAGTAGATTTCTTAGAAAATCATTACAGCTGGGCGGACCATCGGTGGAAGACAGCACAACCACACCTGAATGTGCACAAACAGAGAAAGGTGAGTTTCACTACATTCAGCCACGGATTCGGCTGCAGTTTGAAAACTCTACGAAACACGAACACGTGGGCTATTTTAGAAACCAGAACAACAAAGGTTTTGGTTTGACGGGTTTGTTACCTGGAGCTCAAGCACACAAACACCACACGAATCAAATCAAACAACAACAAAAAAGAAGCAATCTAACCTCCCTTGTAGACAATCTCAGTCTTGGTATCGTTTGCCTCCTGCTGCTGCAACATGTTTGCTGTCAACAGAAGAAAGCTGAGTGTCTCTACACCTGCCGGCTACATGTTGAGTATGCATGCCTGCTTCAGAGACAAACACACAAACAGTCCTTACCTTTTCCACCACATCTATCACAAACACGGCGCTGCTGACTTTCATCCTCTTGACCAAGGAAGAGCTCAGTCCCCCTGGCAACTCCTGCATCCTGCGTCCAGTGTACCGCCAGGGCGGGGCCAATGCCCTGATTTGCCACGGAAATGGAAGGTGTGAGGATGCCAAATGAAGACATGAAGGCAGAAGAAGGAGGAGGCTGGGGGACAAAGCACAGCATGTGAGGGCCTGTGGTGGTGCTACTGCTAATGGAAGGCGTTTTAAAACCAACAGCCGGCCCACGTGGCTTCAAGGTTATTCTTTCAAAACAACAAACTAAAGAAAATGGACCTGTCGTGTGTTCATACGTGCACAAATTCATCCAACCTGTAGTGAAGGAGCTCGCTCACCTCATCTCTGGAGTTCAGATGTGGGTAGCGCTCCCTGACGGGTCCATAGTCCTTCTTGTAAGTGGTGAGAAATCTCCCTGGACTGTTGAAACCATGAGTCTGGTCAGGGGAAAAAAACAAAACAAAACACAAACAGGCATTTTGGGGGGTTTAAATAGGAGTTTAGCTTGTTGTGATGGTCAGTCTGAGTGTATAATGTGAACAAACCTGACATCCTGACAGAAACAAGAGCTTGTTCAGCCACAGTATGCACGCTTCATATTTACTTTTTACTTACATAACCATGATGTCCTGAACTTGATGACCTCCAGGTGTTAAAAGTATTAAATCACCTCATCACTAGAACTGATGTGTGGTATTTTTATAGTATTGCACTGATAACCACTGATGCACTAATGTAGGTAGATGCTGATTTTTATTGTTTGTTTTAAATCATAACTCTGGATGCAACACTCCAAATTCGCCAAAAGATAAAGATAATAATTGTAGTTGCGCTTATATATCTCATAAACCTTATGCCAGCTTGTTTTGTTTTCACAGCTTGTTTGTGCTTCCCCCTGGTGGCCAAATAGCAGGACTGCAAGTGAGGATTTCAATGCGCGTTTCTCAATGTTATGAATTAAAAAACAAGGACAAAGCAGAAGCCTTGGTGGGGTTTTGCCACATTATTTAAAAGAAAAATAACTATTTGTTTGTCTGCTGTTTCCCACTGTTAGACAACTAACAGTGGGAAACTGTTAGGATCTTATTTCAAATTGAAATAAACGTTTTAGTCTAATTCTCCTTTTCTGTTTGACTTTTTTAAACCTGTGAATTTCAGTTGAACAACAACATGTTGCTGCTGCACTCCAACTCCCCATCAAGCTACATATTTACCTTCCGCTGCTCCGATGTAAGCATGCTTGATGGTTTTTTTGGTTCCTCCTCGAGTAATCTTAGCGCTTCATCACTGTATTAAAGCCAAACTGAAGACTAGAGACCGTCCAGCGTGTCTCTGAGTGAAAGCCAGCAAAATGTTTTTAATTGAATTTGTTTATTCCACTGAATTCTACTGTGGAATTACAGCCAATTGGTACAAACAGCTCCCTGCTTCAGGGGCTCAAATGTGAATGTATGTGACTGTAAGAAATTATTATTTGTTTAATACTTACTGTCACGTTTTAGGTCCTGTTTTTTTTAAAACTTTTCTTCTTCTATTGCTACATATTTGTCCTCAGGAGTTGAAATGCAGCTGGAGCTGGTTAAGCTGATCAAATCTGCAGCTCCCTAAAAAGTGGAATGCTCCACCTTTATATTAAAAAATCTTCTGGGTTGCTGTTTTGCATCTGCACTGTCACAAACAGGAACTCTTCCACCCCTGCTGCCTTCAGTGTCTGTGTTTTTTAATACTGCTGAGCTTGTCAATGCGCTTTTAAAAAAAAAAAAAAAAAAATCAGGATGTACCTGTAACTGTAGGTCTGCCCTCAAAAAATGTTTGTTATTTGTTGGCCTGTTCCACTTTCATTGTGGTAGTTTCAGTTGTGGGTTTATAGCAACAGTTTCAAATTACACACTGGCATCGAAGTGCAGAGTGCAGAGGCCTCTCTGTGGAGCTTGCATGGTCTCCCAGTGTCTGCATGGGTTCTCTTGGGTAGTCAAAGTCTCTTCCAAAGACACCGTTCGGCTGTTGGTTGATGCTAGATTGGGTGTAGGTGAGAATGTGAGTGTGGTTGTTTGCCTCCAAGTGTGACCCGCCTCAGTGTTCTAAATGTGACACTAAACTAGATGAAATTTAGGTAAACACGATGAAGGAAAGCCCACATCAATCAGTCTAAAATGATCCACAACAATGCAAAGATCTTCTATAAATTCAACCTCATTTTTATTATAAATCACAAATGCAAACGAGCATTAAAAAGTCTTTACACAGTACGATAAAATTAACATGAGCATTCTGAGATCTGACTCTTTAGTGTCAAAATCAAGTGCAAAACAATCATGTTAAAAATTTAAAAAACGTCCGGCAAGTCTTCCCGCAACTCAGCTGCTGAAGGTGTGTTGATAGAAGACTTTGGCATTGGCGGCATAATCCATGGCTATGGTAGCACCTGAATGCTGCGCTCCGAGGCCGGCGCCACCGAGCGCCGAGGACCGCTGCAAAATCAGAAGGCTGTAGCTGCAGAAATGACCCTTGTGCTTGTCAGATGATGCCAGTTTATCCAAGACTTCAGTGAAACCTGGGGAGAGACGGAGAATCTCAGACTTCTTCAGGATAGAAGCTACTCAGGCAGAGGAAGTGGATAAGTTGGAGGGTTTCATGATGAGGGTCCAAGGAGACACTGACCTGGCTTCAGGAGCTCCCAGCTCTTCCACACCGAGCCCACGCACAGGATTGGCAGGCCGAGGTCGCCGCTCAATAGTGGCTGTCAGGAAAATAAAAGAAGACGCGATTCAGAGAAACGTGATCACAAACAGGTGACAGCACGTGACTGTGTGGGTGTGTTACCTCCTGCGCTGCAGGTAAGACTGCTTCTACATGTTTTGCCAGGACTCGTCCAGCTTGAGCAAACACATGCCGACAGAGAGCGTCCCCCGCCTCGGCACCTTTAACACACACAAAGTCTGACTTTTACCTTACCGATTAATCTTTCACATTTCAAAGCAGACCAGGGAGTTACACCCTCCTACCTTCAGCCACCTTCTTGCAGAACCCTGCAAAATGAGACTTCTGGAAGTTTCTGTAGAGATGTGGCAGCATACCCATCAGATCTGACACCTACAATAAACAGAGTTTTACCCATTACACGGTATCGCTGTGCATGTCGACACATCTCTCCGAACTTTTGGGACTCTGACCTGGAAGTACTCCTCCATGGCTTTTCTAACATGCGTGGTGTCGTGAGGAGGAACGACCAGTTTGTCTCTGCTGTCGAACACCGTCTTCACAGCCAGGTGAGCTATCCAGAAGGCTGGGAAGATGGACGGATAGCTCAGTCTGATCTATAAAGATATGAATGATTCACATATTCCGACATAGTTACCTGATCCTTCATCGCCCATCATGTGACCCCAGCCCCCACAGCCGACCTGCGAGCCATCAGGATTGACTAGTTTGCAGTTTGATCCGGTCCCTGATATCAGGACTATGCCCCCTGAAGACAAAGATCCTGATGATAACGCTGATATGCTGACACCATCAAGCCATAAAGCTCAGGGTCAGACAGTAAAGCTGATACATAGAGCCACACCTAAAACAGTAAAGTATTAAACTGCGACCTGCTGTAACATTTTGGGCTAAGAGCAGCTCTTAAACACAAGTTATGTCAAATATTTAACAATGCTACTGCAGGACAGTATCGTAGGACAGTGTCATTGTGTTTGTTACATGAACACATTTATGGTTGGGGCAGCTCTGTCTTCCTGCTGAGGACTGGCTGCTGTATGAAGAGAGAACAGAAAATGGCAGCTTACCTCGATTGCTGGCCGTGGCCATGGCACCGATGGCGTCTGTGGTGATGAAGTAACGTTCGCTGAGGCTGGGGAACCGCTCCTTCATGAGAGCGATGAGTCTGTCGATGGCATCCTTCTGCTCGCCTCCGCTCAGAGACATGCCCTGCGTACGCAGATGCACACAAATCAGATGTTAGGGCTTACATTATTTCAATCAGCCATCAGCAACCTGCACCGGCACACAGCCAGACTGACCAGGGAGTATAACCGCGTGCCTGGATCCAGCCCCGCCTCGACCTTGGCTCTTTGGACCATGTCGTCGATCGTTGAGATACACTTGTCCACGCCGACCAGCTGTGAGAGACAAAAAGTGTTGCAAAATAAATGGAACTTGCTACAGTATAACACAATGTAACAATGTATTCACTCATAAGACAACTATAAACACAGTCTATCTAATGTGCAAACCCCTCATCCGGCCACCATCTGCCCTCTCTTTCCCCTTTCCAAATTTCTCCACCTGCCTCCATCAGCACTTCCGCTCACCCAGTGGTTGGTGGATGGTCCCGACGTCTCTGCCAACACCTTCCCATCCGCTGACAACAACACTGCTTTGGAGTGCGTCCCTCCCCTAATAAGGAAGTGACAAATACATGAACGGAGCTGCCAACCACCAAAGCAACTAGACATCACTATACAAGACCATTGTATGCATCTTCCCTGATAGAAACACACACACAATTTAAATAGATGCACAAAAAAGGCCCCACAAATCTCATTTAGACAAATACGTATTTATAGCATACTTTAAAAAAAAACTAAATGATGACATTTTAACTGACAGAAACAGCCCACAAAAGAGGAGAAGTGATCACGAGACACACATACTCGCGCACAGCCGTTGAGAAAACTCTTCACTTTCTAAATGACCTAAAAACTTGAATAAATGCCTGTAATACACAGAAGCCTTGCGTGACACTTCATCACAATAAACTTGGAAGAGTTTTGCTGCTTATTTTAATTGATTCTCACCCCTCAACTCCGCCGAACACTCGCTCCATGTCTCAATTCCTGTTTTGGTCCGGGCAACTGCGCAGATATCGCGAGAGCAGAGGGTGAACGCCCTCCAACCTGTAATTATGACTAATGACCAGTAGATGGCAGCAATGTCTTTCTATTTGAGAAATTCAGCAGCAGGCTACAATCATGAAACAAACCAGGGGCCTTCAAGGAGACAGATGAGAAAACAATATCAGGTAGAACACGAACAAACACGTGATGTACGCTACAATTAGATTCACTACAGAGACGTTAAAAATAACATTTAGCAACAGCTCTTATCTCCCTTTAACAGTTACACACGAGTGTTTGCATCCTGCAATAACTTACAGGACGGTACTATTAGAGAGAAGCTGCATTGGCCTGATAGTGGCATCATGCCCCTGTAATGGGTGCATAAAGAAAATATGCACTCCGCCAGCATGTGAGGCAGTCTGCTGAAGTTTAAATAATAAGATGCAATGCAGGAGTACAGGTTTTTTTTTGACCTGTGAAGGAGCACGAGCCAGCAAAAAAACCCATTTTGCGTCTGAGTCATGGTTTAAACATCACGATTGAGAGATTTAGCGCCATTTGGCTGAAAACTGGGGCGCTGTAAGCCAGCAGGAGGCATCTGCAAAGCATTAATTTTGGGGGCCAGCTTCTCCTGCCAGCATAGCCTGCATCACTCACAATTCCTGTGATGTTTATGTAATTTAAAGCTGGGTGGTTTGAAATGAACAGTAACAGTCGCTTGTAAATGTATTTATGAACTTTTTATGGGATTAAATTTTGAACCAAAACCCAAATTTGTGTAATTGCCAAAAAGACTCATCCCAAACTACTCATCTCACCATATGAGTTCATCATATTTTTAATGAGCCACTAAAGCTTTCTTTCACACATGTTACACAAGGTTGACGAGGTGGGAGGAGAGAAGGAGAGGAGCGGCTCGGTGCGCGTACCACGCGCTGCTCACTCCTTCAGATGAAGGGAGTGAGCTGCGACAAGTATAACGCATTTAATACAATACCGGTTGTTACTTATTATTTCAAAATAAATGTGCGCTACGGGCGAAAAAACTCAGTTTAACAGTAAAACTAATTTTTCCCCAAGTAAGAAAGCATGTATGAATATTCCCCGTGTTTTTCACACTTCCATGAATAATGATTCTTCATGGGTAATGTTGATCTTCCATGTTCACAATAATCGACTTTTACAGAGAAAGTTCATAAATTGAGAAGTGAAATTTCCTGACTACAGACATTCTAGAGTTTCTTTTTTTGGGAGCTGGTGGATATCACTTTTAGAGGATCCTGGAATAAACATTTCCCCATTCGGCGGTTTCAAATTCACGATCAACATAAAGCACATTGTGAACTGATATGACAGAATGATTTTCAGTAAAGCCTACTGTCATAGGAATTCAGCTCGTTTGTTTTACTAAAATAAAACTGTTTTAATTTCAAAACAATAATCATTTACACTTCTAATGAAGTATTCAACAAATATCTGATGCACTGCAGTGGGGGGAGCTGATAAGGACACAACTGGGTTCAGCAGGCTGTTCTCAAACAATTTTCACACTTTTAATTGCAAAAACAAAGAAATACAAAAAACAAAAAAAAACAAATGCAAAAAATTCCCCCCACCACCAACAGAAATTGTCTATATTTAATTATCTAAATATCTTTGGAACATTTTCCACCCGCTGGAGAAGCTACACACAACTACAGCAAACTTCTCTTGTGGTTTTTGCAACCATATGCATGAAGTCAAAAGACATTATCCAGCGCTTTTATTGTGAAACCGATACCCGGAAGTGACGCGTTGTCGTATAAGCGCGGCTTTTCATTGGTCCATTTCTACAGGAGGAGTGAGAAGCGACAGATAGTCAAAGCAGCCGACAACATTTGGACATTGTTTAAGTTTGTGAGGACTTCTCGGTGACAGTTTGGAACTTTTTCTTCTTCTGATATCACCATGACACTGTCACCCGCGCGCGAGCGTCGCGATAAACACGGTTTAAGGCCTGTGGAGCGGAAGTGAGAGAAGAGAGAAGTTGTTGAGGGGGTGAAAGAAGAAAAAAAAGGTGATTTTCTTCTGTCAAGTTCAAGTCCAGTTTCATCTTTGTGGAGGACGGCGGGCTTTAGCGTTTTTGGGGGGCATGGACACCCACGTTAAGGAGGGACAGCTTTATGTGCAACACCAAAAGTTTGGAAAGGTAAGACCCAGGAATAGAAAAGAAAAGAAAAAACGCTGTTTTTATTGATAAAATGTTGCGTTCACAGAAATAAAGGAAGTGCGTGTAGCCACAGCCAGTGTTATATTACAGGCAAATGAAACGAAGTGGTGGTACTTTAAATAGAGCCTGTAATAAACAAGCCATAACTTCTCTGTCTTATCTCAGCAGATAATATCCCATGTAATTTATTCAGGGTCACTAAAAATAATGAGAGATCCGTGCAACCACACAAACGCCACTCTATACCAGTTTTGTGGATAGCTGCTGCTCATTATAGAGAAGCAAATAAAGCCTTTTAGGGGAAGAAAGAGGCACTAAAACTGCTCGTGACAGCATTATGTTGTCATATTTTGATTTTTTTAAAATCACAACTAAGTGATGTTAACTTTGTACTTCCACTAGACAGATCTTTTTTTTGTACCTCGTGGCAAGTAAACAGAGCACTGGTGCAATTACAGGCCAGTGGCTTCAAAGATAATGCTACTGTACCTGCAGAAGGAGGAAGTCAGTGGCTGTGCCTTCAGTGATCTGGCCTTTTTTTGGTGTTGTGGTTTAGAGTAAAGGTGATGTGCATCAGTGTGCATGCAAATTCATCTCTGGGCTAAATGCAAGAACACATGAAACTAAAGTGAACTCAAGCTCCCCGAGTACTGTCAGGAAGGGAAGTTTGGTTGTGTGTGCGTGTTAGTGACAAGCTTTATGTGACTTTCCACAACAACTCATGATAAAAATGTGTTAAACCATTAAAATAGAGTCGGAAACCAAATCTATTTCCTACAAAGATCGCAGTCTTTACTTTCACTTCAGCTCAGCTGTCTGTACTTGCTGTTTACACCATTTAAACTCGCTGTCAGCATGCAGACTTTGTGTCATCTCGCAGCCACACACAACCAGCACAGCTACCTGTGTGTGTTTGTGTGCATGCTGGTGTCAGCGCTCGGCCTCAGAGCACCACTGCATAGGAGCTGGGTTACTCTTTAAGATTTGTAAGAGGGTCTTTGTCTCTCCGTCTCTCTGTGGTCATATGACATGGACCAACAAAACATTCTGGCTCCATTTCCTGCCCTGGAATCAACACTTCACAATGCATATTCA